TATACCAGTCTGACACATACTATACCAGCCAGAAACATACTACACCAGTCTGACATATACTATACCAGTCTGACACATAATATACCAGTCTGACATATACTATACCAGTCTGACATATACTATACCAGCCTGACACATACTATACCAGCCTGACACATACTATACCAGCCTGACACATACTATACCAGCCTGACACATACTATAACAGCCTGACACATACTATACCAGTCTGACACATACTTTACCAGCCTGACACATACTATACCAGTCTCTCACATACTATACCAGTCTGACACATACTATAACAGCCTGACACATACTATACCAGCCTGACACATACTATACCAGTCTGACACATACTATACCAGTCTGACACATACTATACCAGCCTGACACATACTATAACAGCCTGACACATACTTTACCAGCCTGACACATACTATACCATTCTGACACATACTATACCAGTCTGACACATACTATAACAGCCTGACACATACTATAACACAGCCTGACACATACTACACCAGCCTGACACATACTATACCAGTCTGACACATACTACACCAGCCTGACACATACTATACCAGCCTGACACAGAATATACCAGTCTGTCACATACTTTACCAGCCAGAAACATACTATACCAGTCTGACACATACTATACCAGTCTGACACATACTATACCAGCCTGACACATACTATACCAGCCTGACACAGAATATACCAGTCTGTCACATACTATACCAGTCTGACACAGAATATACCAACCTGACACATACTATACCAGCCTGACACATACTATAACAGCCTGACACATACTATACCAGCCTGACACATACTATACCAGCCTGACACAGAATATACCAGTCTGTCACATACTATACCAGTCTGACACAGAATATACCAACCTGACACATACTATACCAGTCTGACACATACTATACCAGTCTGACACATACTATACCAACCTGACACATACTATACCAGTCTGACACAAAGTATACCAGTCTGACACATACTATACCAGCCTGACACTTGGCTCCAAGATTCATGAAATTAGGGCCCTGCATAGGTCTACTCTACCAGCTTGACACATACCACAGTGACAAATATTGTTGCAACACAAGCAATCAAAAGATTTTGACGTCGTTTATTTCTATTTATTGTTACTTTTATGTAACATATTGTACTTGAACAGTTTTTGAGACAGATTTGACACATTCTTTCACCAAACAAGTTTACTCAGAACAATTAAATCACTACTTAAACCTATTGTTATACATAATTTATTGCATTGCATTTTCAATACATTGTAGTGGTTGAGAAAAAAAAGTTTGTCTTTATCCTTTTCAGCTTTGCATTAAATATAGAATATACATGAAATCTTTGTAAGGCGATAATTGAACAGGCCAACTATTTGTTTCAAATTACATGTTATATTTTTTCTATAATTTTACATTATTCCCAGAAAGAATTAAGTTTTTCTTTTCATGTTGAGTATATTACAATCAATAATGATACAAAATTAGGCCAAACAGGTGTTTTAGTCACACAACTTGTGTTGTTTGCAGAATAACTTCTTTTTTACAAAAACTGACACTGAAATTAAAGGTTGTTTTTTTAAAGCACCATTTAACCAAGGCATATTCAACATTAAGATTTTTTTCCTGAGCATGATTTGTTAAATTTGTTTCTTATTTTTTCCTTTTACATTTAAAAAAAAAATTAATCAAGCATTTTAATTGCTATAAAATTTTAGTTTTCACCAATTATTCCCATTTTTTTAACTAAAAAAAAACAACATTTTATTTACAACTGATATTTTAAAAGCATGCATATATAGTTAGTATTAAAGTTTTAAAAATTATGTACAACCATTTGAAGCATTTTAATTAATTCAGAATTTTTATCTTAAGACTTTAATTACAATCCATTTGGTGAAATCGCTTTTAACAAAGCCTTGTTTTAATTGATGCATGGCACTTGTAAAATTTTAAACTGAAGGATTAACTTAATGTATTAACTTGTCCTATCAATTATAAGCCATTTATATAATGGAAATGCTTACATAAATGGTCAATAAATAGAATTCCTCTTTCAGAAATTCATGGAACTGAAAATGAAATAAAAATCTGGGGATTTCTAGGAATGAAATTTGTGTCAGCAGGTTACTGGGTTATCGTGTAGTTAGGTTGCTTTGTCATCGCTATGTGCACGATAATTTCACCCCTTAATCTGCTATATTTGTGTAATGAATTTTCTCAGCTTTGAATTTGGAACAGTCCAATAAATCTTTTAAATTAAGGGAAAATTAAGCTACCAGCAGTATAGAGCCTGTTCAATCTGCAAATATGTGTTTGCACATATGTGTTTGCACATATGTGTCTGCACATATGTGCATCTGGCTTGAGACTACACTGGTGGCAAAGGCTGAACACTTTCTGTTCCAGCACCTAGCTTAATATAGATACATTAATTTTATTTTAATACCACTATTCTAAAATATTTAGTTGATCTTTTGCTTGATTTCTAGCTATGCTAGATTACATAGGTGAAAGTTTTCAGGATTATTTCTGAAGTTAAGAATTTTCAGTTTCCTGAAAGCCTTCTATTTCCTATGTAAAACTATAGAAAAACTGCTAAATATTCATGATTTTTAAAACCTCCAACTTTTACCCATGTAGATCAGCTTGTATTGCGCATTCACTTTTTTTTAATGTGATTAATTCTATTAAGTGCTTAAAGACTTGGATACCAGGATATTCATTGAAGTGCTCAATTGTTGCTGTCAGTTTTTCCTGTTGTTATTTTACCCTAAAGATTAAAAATAAATTTAAAGCCTCTCTGATTTTATGTGTTCACCATTTTCTAGCAGATTTAATTATTTTTTTGAAAAAAATGTCAAAAGAGAGATGAAGGAAGCATAGTTAGTGAATTGCTGTAGAAATTGTTAAAAGTCTGTAAGGTTTGATAACAATTACTAGTATGTTTCAAGCATCTATAATATTGTCTAATATATCATATGATAATATTATGTAATGTAATATAATATGGTAAAGAAGTTATTTTGCAAAAATGAAATAAAGAATTTTTTATAGTTTTAATATGGTATCTGTAGTTCATCTTCTTATGTAGATTGAAATTTTGCATAAGGTTTACCCTCTTGTGTAGATTAAAGTTTCTGTAAGGTTTACCCGCTTGTGCAGATTAAATTCAGTAAGGTTTACCCCATTGTGCAGATTAAAGTTTCTGTAAGGTTTACCCCATTGTGCAGATTAAAGTTTCTGTAAGGTTTACCCCATTGTGTAGATTAAAGTTTCTGTAAGGTTTACCCCATTGTGCAGATTAAAGTTTCTGTAAGGTTTACCCCATTGTGCAGATTAAATTCAGTAAGGTTTACCCCCTTGTGCAGATTAAAGTTTCAGTAAGGTTTACGCCCTTGTGCAGATTAAAGTTTCAGTAAGGTTTACCCCCTTGTGCAGATTAAAGTTTCAGTAAGGTTTACGCCCTTGTGCAGATTAAAGTTTCAGTAAGGTTTACCCCCTTGTGCAGATTAAAGTTTCTGTAAGGTTTACCCCCTTGTGCAGATTAAATTCAGTAAGGTTTACCCCCTTGTGCAGATTAAAGTTTCAGTAAGGTTTACCCCCTTGTGCAGATTAAAGTTTCAGTAAGGTTTACCCCCTTGTGCAGATTAAAGTTTCAGTAAGGTTTACCCCCATTTACAAAAATGTTGTTATTCTTTACTTTCATTTCTACTTTCACTTTCATATCTACTTTCACTTTCATTTCTACTTTCTCTTTTACATTGAAAAAATACTTTATCATTACTTTCTTTTTTATTTTGTTTGAGAAGGATACTGGTATACAAGAATGTAATTACATAGAAGAAAAATGACATGTTTATAATATCCCATAAAATTAAAAGCATTCTATTCTGAACAATTACTGTTTATCGTTCTTGCATCACATAATATATATAATACACTATAGAAGTACTGTGTCATCTGGAAAAAGGCTACATTATCCAGCAGTTGGCAAAGGTTCAGCAGGTATAAACCAGCAAGCTTTGCCTAAGGTACAGTGGCTACATTATCAAGCAGTTGCCTGGTCCAGTGGCTGTATTATCCAGCATTTGCCTAAGGTTCAGTTGTTACATTATGAAGCAGTTGCCTCGTTCAGTGACTACATTATCCAGGATTTGCCTTGTCCAGTGGCTACATTATCTAGTATTTTCCTTGTCCAGTGGCTACATTATCCAGCATTTGCCTTGTTCAGTGGCTACACTATTTAGCAGGTGTCTGGTCCTGTGGCTACATTATCCAGATTTGCCTAAAGTCCATTTGCAACATTATCCGGGAAATGCCAGGTCCAGTGACTGTATTGTCCAGCATTTGCCTAAGGCCAAGTAGTTGCATTATCAACAAGTTGCCTGATCCTGTAGCTACATTTTCAATGCCTGGTATAGTGGCTACATTATTCAGCAGTTGCCTGGTCAAGCAGCTTAATTATTCAAATGGCTACATTATCCAGCATTTGCCTTGTCCAGTGGCTACATTTTCCAGCACATGCCTTGTCCAATGGCTACATTATCCTGTATTTGACTTTGCCAGTGGCTACATTATCCAGCATTTGCCTTGCCCAGTGGCTTTATCTACCAGCACATGCCTTGTCCAGTGGCTGCATTGTCCAGCATTTGCCTGGTCAAGTAGCTTCATTATCCAGCAGTTGTCTGGTCCTCCAGCTATATTATTCAAGCATTTACCTTGTCCAGTGGCTCATTATCTTGTAATTGCAATTGTCAGGGTAATAAAAATCTGATTTGCAGATTTAAATCTTCTTGTAAAATAATAAGGTGAGTTACAGACATATATGTGCCTTTTGATCGGCTCTTTTATATAGATGTTAAAAAAACTCTTACAAATGAGTTAATTAATGATGCATCTTTCCTTTAACATTTCTTACTTCACAAGTATATGTTACGTACCTATATTTTTCAGGCAATCCGTGTTTTCTTTCTGGTACGGGATTTATCCCTGTCACTGTTACAGGAAGAGGAAAGGCAATTACCACTCACAAAAGACAAAGACTGTGTAAAGATTGACAACATCCTTGACCTTAGTAAGTGAACTTTAACCTCTTTATATGACCTTAGTTAGCGAACTTTCACCTATTTATATGAAATATTTTACTATTTCTTTATATAACATCATTGATCTATCCTTTATATGAAATATTAGAACATTTTTTAATTGGATTTTCTTTTACGTTTTTGCCAGGCCAAAAATAACAATATATTTGTTTCCCTTTCTGTAAGTCAAGCAAAATAGGTGATTTTGATAACCTTTCATTTGATTGGTATACTTAATAAGAATTAGTCACTTTTTTATTGTAAGCACTTTTGACTATCTGTGAACATGTGACCTTTCCTATCAACATTTCACTTGAACTTTGACATCTGTATCAGATATGAACACTCAGGTTAGGTAAACAATGTAGAAATTTAAAAATTACATTACAGTGTATAAAAGTTAACCTACTTCCTGTTTTACAAGGAAAAAAACACACAAAATTACATTGAACATTTGAACTATAAACATACTCCATGTTTCAGGTAAATATTTGCTGATTCTAATGGTGTATAACTTTTCCTTGTAGTTCATTGACTTCCTGTTATGCTATTTTTCTATGTGGTAATATTTTGCCAAATATCTCCATTCTCCAAGCATATCAGAAAAAAACAACAGCTACATTAGTAATGGAAAAATATGTATCATTAGGATCTGAAAATATTTTTCGGTAACATGGTTTATGTTTATTATTTAAATATTGAAAGATATAATGCAAAATTAGTAAAAACCCTAGTGGTCACCCAGTTATACTGTAACAAATGTCACATGACACCCACCAAGTATTTCAGAAGGTCAGTGCAGGATCTGTCTTGGTGAATTGGCATTTAATATCTGTAACAGTTTGGTTTATACAGAATTTATTTTAGTTTGATTGTGTAAGAAGCTATAAGCTTATAGACACACTTTCCTGGAACCAGCCAGTACTGAACGATAAGTGTAAAGTTTCTTGCTCAAGGAAACAACGGCTTGCTCATGACAAGGGGTTTCGAATTCGCATGGCTAGCGGTCCATGGGTTACTAGTCTGATGTGTTAACCACTCGGCCATGCCACCACTGTATGGTTTGGTGGGGCATGTTGGGGTTCTTCTTCTTCCTGTAAAAACTGAAAGTTGTAATATTTAACTAAGCTTATCTAATAAGAAAATAAAAATTATTGTCAACCGTAAAGTTGAAATGGTAAGTTTTATAACTGTGGTCCTAATATGCTGTGGTCAATGTGGTTTTATATTAGCATTATTCATTATGATTAATATTTCAATTTCACAGAATTAATGTGGTCATGTTTTGAAAGCATTCAACAATGTTTATTGTCATGTAATATAACCAACAGGATTTAACAAATCTGCTTGAGGACACTTCAGTTATTCTCTATTATGAGCATTTAAATAAGGAAATCAATTTTTGTAAAATATATTACGTGTACATGTACATGTGGTAACAGTTAAGTTTGCGCTTAAGAGTTTTTAAGCTCAACTATTCGGAAAGAAAAGGAAAGCTATTTTACTCACTCTGGTGTTGGTGTGGCTGTCAAACTTTGATGCATTTTGGTATCTCCAATACTACTTAAGGGAATGGAGCATAATAGTTAACTTTCAAGTGCCCATAATTCTAGCCCTCATTATGACAGAATTTATGGCCCTTTTTTACTGAGAAAACATTATCCAAGTTCTAAATGTTAACTATCAAGCACTGAGACAAGCATGCTGTCCTTAACTGATAGCTCTTGTTCTGATAATATTAATGATTATTTAGATAAATTATTATGAAACTATTGAAAATTAATTGAGTTTTATGTCATATTAGTGCCAGTATTTAGCATGACTTACAGACATTATGCAGGTGGGTCACTGGGTTCATGTTATGAGTTAATGTTACTAATACTTTCCCTTAAAATATATTACACAGAGTGTACTTATATTCATTTAAAATATATAATAATAAGAATGTTGTGGTTTAACATAATACACTTAATGTAATGCCTTAATTAGAAAAAAGAATTACTGGTCAGGAAATGTGACTGGCCTGTAATAGTGAACTTGTGAGATCAATATGTAGAATTTATTATATATGCTGAATGATGTAAATGAAGGGTGTAAGTTATATATATTAAACCAGGGAGGAATGAGTGAGTTTTTTTTAAATGATTGATCCGTAACAGCTTTCAAATCCTGTCACAGACTTCAATATGCTGAAATCTGTCTTGTGTAGAAAAGAAAATATATACTGATTGAGCAAGCTAAGTTAAAAAATGCTTAAAGGTTTCATGATTCAATCTACACTTAGGACAGCCATCTGGCACATTTTAATTGTCTCTTTAATCAATTTAAAACTGGAAGATCTCTGAAATTAACAATACCGTAAAATTTCTATTAAACGCCCCCGGGGGGCTAAACATTTTCCAAAGGGGGGGGGGGTTATTATTACAACACAAATTTTCCTAAATCCAAAAATCACTGTAAATACATTTAGTGTTAGCAAGTGTTGGTAATAACATTAAAAAGTGTTAAGGTTTTAAAGTTCATATAATACGTATTTGTGTTTACTATAAAAAACTATGGATTCTGAATGATTTGAATAAAATTATGGTTTTAATTATGAGTTCAGCACTGATGAGTAGATTGTTTTCCTTGAGGGGCGTTTATTAGGGGAGGGGCGTTTATTAGGAATTTTACGGTAATTGAGTCAACCGAAGATAAACAAACAGAAATTCAAAATTCATAGTTATTCTTTGAAAAAAAAATTTTTTCGTAAAAATATGCCATTATAATGTAATGCCCCTTTCAAAACGTGCTGAATTGCAGGGTCTTTTCACAGAAATCAATGTGATTGTAAAAATACAGTGATTTTTGTAGGTAAAGTACAGATATAACAGGATATAGCAAGAGGTGAATAAGTTCACTAAAACCATTTTCTTATGTAGGAAGTTCATTAATGTGTCACTTCAACGTGGCCAAAAAAAATAAAAACGTTTACCTACAAGTGATATACACAAATTTACATACGATATATAAACATATATATAAACTGTTTAGAGTAGATAACTGACAAATTGATAACCATTTCTTGTTACTGACATTTTAGGAAATGTTTCATAATATATCTTTAACCAACACAATTAATATGGTTAAAAGACAGATGTGAGTCGCAACCATAATTTCTCTTTATTTCATCAAATTTAAGAGGAATAACTCACTGTTATAAACCACCTCATTTGAATTTTTCTTTTTATGAATAAATAAATCATATAGGAAACAAAAAAAAATGTGACATTAGATTTCATGAACCTGAAGTTTATACATATGCATTTTTTGTACAGCTTGGTTTTATTTGAGAATGAGATAATATTATTATTTCTCATATTCAAAGTTTTCTGACAATACTACAGACTTAGGGCTCTTTGATTTATAATAGCCACTATTATACAATGTACCTTGAGAGCCCTCTAGATACATGTATATTTTAAAAAAAACTTGTCCATCTTTTCAATCTCAAATAAGAAAAAAAAAATTTAAGGGAAAATTCCCAAAATTTTCAAATTATGTAGTGAGTGAATAGCAAACAGTGCAGATCATGATCCAGACAGCACAGATGTACCAGCATTAGTGATGTTCCGATTGTCGCAAGTCGCCGATAATCACTTACTGTTATGTAAAGCGACAATAATCGATTCACAAAAATTTGTTCCGCGACACCGTCGAAAATGTTGAAAGTATCAAAGGGAATTAATTCTGACGGTAATTTTCTTTTAGGAACACCTCGCCGATCGCAAAAAATTATCTCAGAGACAATTTGGAGTTGAACAGGATTAAAAAGTGATGTAAACAATAGTAATATAATGTGATGTTAATGTTATTATTTGACATCCATTGAAAAATAAAATCTATTTCGTAAAATTATGACTCTATATGGTTAAAACTGTGTTAAAAAGTGCTAAATGAAGTTCATGTTACTCAGAATATAATCAAGTGCCTTGGGAAGAATTGTTACTTCCCTATTTCTTTTTTACGCGACTTAATTCGAAAAGTAATCGATTATGTCCCATCCGGCTGAACCGATGATCGATTGGGACAAATTTCATCCGATTTCCATCACTATAACCAGCATATCTTGGTCTGCACTAGTCACTTAAATTGGTAGAATCAAACAGGCTAATAATTACCTGGAAAATATAATGCATTATGCATCAATTTGGAACACTGCATTTTATGATGATGATTATAAATCACAACAGTGCATGAGTGGGAGTGACCTGAAACCTGAATCACACAGCCAGTGTCACATTGAAGGATTACCCCCACCCACCCACACACCCCCAATTTTAATATTCCCTATATGTCTATATGAAAACTCCGGAAAACATCTTTCTATACTGTGGACTGACCTCTAGCAATTAAATAAATTCAAATTGTTTTATCAATTAACATCATGAAATTTAAAACAGCTAGAGCAATTCTGTTAATACTATATAATGAATGATCGAAACAATTGATATTTAGGCAGATATTAGAGTAGAAAACTCATAAAACTATACCTGTATACCTATAAATGTTGTTGTTTTATAAAGAGCTGGCAAAAATTGTGAAATTTGAATAGGTATAAAATTTGGGTTGTTAAATTATAAAAAAATATGACAAACAAATAAAATAGTTGTATAATTTAGGCTTGTCTGTTGATAGTTATTTTCAAATAGATTAAAGAGGGGTGGTTTTTTTTTTTTGTGAATTTCAATTTTTTTCTGAAATCATTTAATGAGCTCTTAAAAGAAAAAAAAATTATTTTTTTTATTCTCAACTGAATCATCATTATTCCATACAGGGTTGTTTACCGTTAAACTGGTTGAATATAATTATCCTCCTCTTTAGAAAATTCTATATATGATCTATACTTGAACAAATAATTCATTTTAATTCAACCACAATACTGTATTTATAAATAGGGACCGATAATCTTATTTTGATTTGTTGTTATTATGAAGTAATTGATTTCCAA